TTCCACGGTTCCTTCGACCCACTGACATACACGCAGCACCAAGAGTAAAATATCCCCATTTTGCTCTCTTTAGCCCTGCCAACATAGACCCACCATTTGCTGCGAAACTCCAGGAGAGATGAAAACGCTTTCAAATTACATTAGTATTGCTTCAGAAAGCTTGTTTTCTAAGTTACTGCTGTTCCTTCAATTACTTCTCTTACCAAATTCTCCCCTCTCCAAACCAAATTTTCGAAAAAAAAAGTTTATAGTTAGCATCGGTAGTAAATAATATGAAATATATTCACCTTATTAAGTAATCCGAAAGACTTGTCAATCTGCGAGCACAAAACATAGATCGTCGATGTGTACGTATGGTTTTCTTGACTTCGCTAAAGACGATCAATTATTTATCTGGCTCAGCAACTGAACTAATATTTTTATATTTCCTTTGGTACTACGTGTCTCCATAGCGTAATAAAAGTCGGCGAAAAGAAGCAGCATGACTGTGACTGGGTGAAGCAACATGAATAAGTCTGACGATAGCGGTTAATGCGGGATCACTAGGAAAGACCCAGACCTTCATTTCTAGTTTTTTGGTTCGTCGATTTCTTCAGTTGTAGACGGCGGCGAATGGCGTACACCGCTGCAGGTCACTGCGTCCGGATAGTTTTGATTCAAAAGATTATGCTCAAACGTCTCATTAAAATAAAGCATCGGCTGATTAAAGTGAAAAGAACCATTACAGAACAATTTGACCAGCGAACTCAAAAAGACCTCTAGATCAACTGCTAACATAACACTGAATGTGGTTTCAAATCCCGAACAACATACAATTTTTAACTCCAAGTTTACTTGTGAACCGTGCCAATGACTGCCAGTGCCAAGAATGGCCGAACACCCAGATCATCTGGGTATTGCTGTCTATGTCTCGTGGCATTCTTTCGAACTGAACATTCACAAAATAACTGCACAGCTGCACAAAATAATTGAGGGACCACCAATCAAAAAGAATGGTAGGCGTCATATTCTCTTCTCCAAAAAGTTCAGTAATTTTGAGTGACCGCTGCAGACCACTATCAACGCTGACCATACACCCCTCTGACACGACCGACATTTACTTATCAATCAGTCCGTCCAAAGGTGCGACCTCAATGAGCAATCCTTTACGGCCTGGTATAGCTCAAGGGATGCCTACAGTCAACGGGATCCAACTAACGCCAGCAATCTGGCACGCGGCCACGGCACTCACGGCCTCACGAACTGCATTTAAATTATAGAAGGGTGACGTGTCTGCAGCTGCGATTATTCCTGCGAACCGTGCTGCGCACATCTCTTCTGCGGCTTCATGACACTTGAGACTCTAGTCCATTCCTAGATCGTCGGTTATTGAGCGCATGCCTGGATAAAGGCGAATTCACACATCCACGCGCTGCTTGCGTTCATACCGTCCAGCCACAGCGAAAGCGCTCCACTGTACGGCCTTCAGTCGTATCCCCGTTAACGTCGACAATTTGCCACTGGCCAAGTTCATGTTATAGATGTTGAAACCAGCGTTTTCACTGCTCGCGAAACCAAAGTTCACGAGTCGAATGGCACCGCGACAAGGTATAAAGCATGCACCGTCACATCTGTGACAATGTGGCGTAAGAAATAACCCCACACTAACGGCCAACTATTTTCAGACACGGGAATTCGTGTGATCTCAGTGATATCAATAGAATGCATCCGCCTAGCATCCTCTATCCACACAGGTTTCGGTAAATCACTGACCATCAGCTTGCGCTTGGTTCGCCTAGAAGTCGTATTCGTAAGTACGAGCAGGATTTCTGAGGGGCCTTCCACAACAACGTGTGCCGCATTCGACTTGACCATGGTAATCATAATGTGTCGGTGCTCATCTGCGTCTGAATGGGTCGATACTCACACTCTGGAAACTGTATGGTGTAATGATATGTTGATACTCACACTTTTAGTATTTCTAAATGGTACTACTGACAGAGGTGGAATTAGTAAATCCGTGGATGCCTCGAACAGCGCCGACACAAAGGCAATTCCTGATGACACAATAGATTCCTTATCTTCCAATTCGTTGCGTGAAGCTTTTATTGAACATCTAAGCAAATTGATGTTACTTGGCCAAGAACTATCATCTTTAACTGATAAAATCAGAAGCATGGAGAATGTGGTTTTCGCAGCATCACCCATACCCACAGTTGATTAGACTGCAGGTTGCAAGCTGCTCCATGATGAGTGAGGATATGCCTGCCCGAGCCTTCCCCACTACATTACTTGGTGATATACAAACAGTGAGAGGAATGCTGCTCTAATTCCGACTCTATTCCCTGGCCTTCTAGGAATACTACCCTGATCCCGAATGGGCAATACTGTACAAAGTCTGCGTAATTTTGACAAGTCCTGGCTTTGACCAGGCCCATAACAAATAAATACTGTTTTCAAAGGTCAAAACTTTCTTCGAAACAATCTCAAGATTTCACGACATACATTATT